CAGCCCAAAGCGGCGAGGTCTGACGACACTTGGGCACTGTGAACGTCCATCGACTCGGGTCTCGCGAGAGGAGCGAGCGGGGCTTGAGTCGGTGGGCGTTCACAGTGCCCAAGTGTCGTCAGGGTGAGCCGCTGGCCAAACTTTTACGAAATGTTAGCGGTGCACAGTTAAAGTAGGAGTGAGCGAAGCGAGCTCGACTGAGCCCTTGTTTTTCTTAAAAAATNAAAAATAAAAAAGTTTTAAGTGCCATCCTTAAAAACCGCAAATTAAAAATAAAAAATCAGTTTAAAAAACTAGTAATGACGCTTTTAGCTGACAGCTACTTGGATATTTTCCAATAATTAATAACAAAAAATATTTTTTTAGTAGTTACCGCCTGATGAAGCACCAAATGACCTTTTCAGTGTCGTACACCAAAAAAATGGCGAAAACTAACTACTGTACAATTACCAATAAATAAAGCAGAAAAAAGCGGTCGACATTTGGAAGTAGGGCAACTACCGGAGAAAAAACTTCTTGTTCTTCCTCCACATTCCAATTGGAATGCAATAACATAGTAGTTGTAGTAGTAGCAGGGAATTCCTCTAATTTTGAATTACTATTTCCACCACCATTTATCATCTTTCGGCGTGTCCTTCCGACTTTTTTTCTCTTTCTCTCACCAGTAGTAATACTGCCGCTAATACTGCTAATACAAATTGAGGTGATCAACTGGAGCATTTAATTGACGGTTAGGGAGGAGGAGAAGGAGACCATTTAGGGAACTCTTCCTTTTTTTCAGAGTTGTCATGACGACTTTTCCTCTGTTCATTTCATTCTGCTTTTTTGAGTTCACCATATTTGCCCTTCTGCCCTTTGAACCAGCGAACCCACAGACACACACACAATTGCCTTTGTTTTTCCTGGTTTTGTTTTTTCTTTTTCCTTTTTTTGCAACAAAACAGACACACTGTGAATGTGTGTTTGCAGGCATAAATCATCGCCTTAGCATAACGGCACACACACACACAGAGAGANTCCTTTTTTTGCAACAAAACAGACACACTGTGAATGTGTGTTTGCAGGCATAAATCATCGCCTTAGCATAACGGCACACACACACACAGAGAGAAACCAACACATTCTGGAGCCTGGATTCATAATGCCTAGGCCACTAATGATTTATTGCGACGCTGCTAGAACTGGAGATAGAATGCGAATAGAAGTAGTAACAGTAGCAGTGGAAACAAATAGTGTTTGTTTTGATTTATTATTATTACTCCTATCACCGCCACCATCACCACCACTGCAATTATATATTGTACAACTAAACAGTCGGCTAATAGTTGTGATTTTTTTATTCGAGTCTTTGATTGCTTTTTTTCACTGCCAGCAAATGTAATAAACGCGAATTATGAAAATAAAAAACAAAAATTAACAAAATTGATTTTCAATTAACTGATTTTTTTCAAATTGTTTTAAATTTTGCTGTTTTGTCGTGAATAACTCTACAACAAACTCAAATCTCATTTTAAAATCACTTTTAATTTATTATAGAAATTAACTCCATTCGTCGACAACAGATGTCGACGCTGTCTCTACTGCTGACGCTCGAGTGCACGTGTTTTGATTTTGTTTTTATCATCTCCCTCTTCTCTGTTTTGCTGGCCGGAACACACACTTTGGGAGTTCTGGGAGTTCTTCATTCAGCCAACACACCGGAAGTTCTCTCCTTCTTTCCACAATGACCTCCTCACCACTACCGCCACCACCACCAAAGCTGGACCTCGGCTTCACCGAGCCGTTCGCCGACGGCTGGCGAGCCAAGTGCAAGTACATGCCCTGCAAGGTGGGCGGCCGACCGGCCTTTCTCGCCCTGGCCCCCGTTCTGGGGCCACCGGAGCTGACCTGCTCCGTCTGCCATCGGACGCTCCGCTTTCTCCTTCAGCTGTACGCCCCCGTGGACACCGAGCCGACCGCCTTCCACCGAACGCTCTTTCTCTTTGCCTGCGGCCGAACGGCGGCCTGCCTCGAAGATAATCACCAACATCAGCAGTCGAACTTTCGCATCTTCCGCTCGCAGCTGCCCAAGGAGAACCGCTTCTACTCGAGCCGACCGCCGGAATATGATGCCGCTTTTAAGGAGGACCCGGATCCGGAGTACGACCCCAATCCAGCCGAGTTTGGCGTTCAGCTGTGTCCGGTTTGCGGGGTGAGGGCGCCGCACCGGTGCGGCCGCTGCCAGAAGACCAGCTACTGCTCACGGGAGCACCAGGTGCTCCACTGGAAGCGAGGTGGTCACAAGGCCGTCTGTGAGGGCGGCGGTGGTGGTTCGAAAGAAGAAGAAGAGGAGTCCAAGAAAGAGGAAGTCCACTACGAGGGCGTCGTCTTTCCTGGTAAGGCTGCAAGGCTATCTTTTTGTCTACCAATTTCTAAAAGCATAATTTTCTCTCTTTCTTTCTAAACTCTAGAACTCGAACTGCTCATCGGCGACGATGACGATGACAACAAAGCTGACTTTGCCGAGAACTCCGAGGACGACGAAGGCGAGGTGGCCGAGTCGGAGATGTCCAAGTACCGCGACTACCTCCGCCGAAATAAGCCCTCACTTCAGACTGACGCCAGTCTAAACGCCTACGGAGAAAGCAACTCCAAATTTGATCAGCTGGAGGAGGAAGAGGCGGACCAGATCGCCTTTGAGCGCTTCAAGAAGCGGTCCAGCGGCGGTGAGGTGATCCGCTACCGAGCTGACTGGTACCTCGAAGACAAGGACCTCGAAGACAAGGACCTCGAGGACGAAGACGAAGAAGACGTCATCCTGTGGATCAGCAGCCGCAACAAACCGACCTCCATTCCGCCCTGTCCTCGCTGTAGGTCGCCTCGTCGGTTCGAGTTTCAGGTGATGCCGCAGCTGCTCAACGATTTGCTCATCAAGAAGAAGAAGAAGTTTTCAGACTTCAGCAAAAGTTCTGCAGGTGAGGGTGATGATGAAGACCACCTCGACTGGGGCACTCTGCTCGTCTACAGCTGCCCAAAGAGCTGCCCAATCAGCAGACTGGAGGGCGATTCGAGGGCGACCACTTCGGAAGATAGGGAAAAGGAGACCTCCAGTGGTAGTCGTTACTCCTCCTCCTCCTACGTCGAGGAGTTCATCTACAATCAGCCTGTTGTTTGAGTTGAGAGGAAGCTGTCATTTCTGCTGTTGTTCATGATCATGAAAAAGCATTACTCTAATAAAGAAAGCTAAAGACAGTTATTAGCATTCAATTTTCCTGCTTATAAATATATTTATCTGGTTTTAAAAGTTTCATACATCAACTCTCATCAAGCTGAGTTTCACTGAAAGAATCATTGCAGCAGTCATTTTCACCGCAACTTGAACCTAATTAGCTTAAGGGGGGACACCGCGCACTTTTTTACTGCTTTTTTGAATTTTGA